TCTTGCGTTTCTTCTTGTCTCCTCTCTCTCTCTCTCTCTCTTTCTCTTCTCTTTCGTCTACCTCTCACCTCCTCTCCCTCTCCCTCTCCGGTATACCTCCGTCCATATTCTCACGCGCTTCCCTTCCGCATCCTGTACACACGTTCAATTAATCTACTCTACTATCTCATACATCGATCTTCATATTACCTACTCACATTCTTATATGAATAATTACTAATCCCAATTTCATACATTATACCCCCCTCCACTTCTTAACCTCTACCCTAAATATAATCCTAAAACTAATTCTCACCCACCTCCACCGTTCTACTCTAATATATCATACTATATGTATATATATGATTTATAATATATATGTGTCGACAACACCTACACTCAACATCGGTGTAATCACCGATATTTCGAAGGCCCGAGCCAGAGTTTTGGAGTATCCATAAACGGTAATGTTCCTAGGGATACGCTACGTTGTATCTCAACGCCTTACTAATCTATATATACGGTAATATAAAGCGCTCTGTTTTTGTTATGTTGTGGTGGTTGTTTTCGTCTATCGTGCTCTTGCCATAGATGGTGCTGTGGTGATTAGTAGTGCGTTTTGTTGTGCGTAAGGTGTCCGTGAATTGTGGTGGAGAGGTGATGTAGGCTAGAGAAGAGATGAGGATAGTGGGGAGTAGGTGGGTGTGTGTAATGTGATGGGTGGTAGTGATGGAGGTGATGGTAGGTATGAGAGGTAAGGTAAAGTAGAAGAGATGAGAGAGATAGGGAGAGAGCGAAGAGAGTAGATGAGTAATGATGTAATGAGTAGGTGGTGGGGGAGCGGGAGAAAGGAGGAGATATGATGAGTATATGAAGATAATATGACTAGAGTAGTAAGGGGAAAGTTAAATATAAATCAGTAGCATATGGATATATATAAAGTAATGGTATGTAAGTGGGTAGATATATATATATATATATATATAATATATATATAAATATATAATAGGATAATATAATGTAGTATATTAGTGGTGTTGTAGTAGTGGATAATGGGGAGTACTATGATGGAGGATATAAGTGAATAGAAGTAATATATAGTATATATATAGTAGAGAGAGATGAGAGATATATATGATGATATTATAACGTGGTTTGGTGGTGACGCTCGTCTCTCTCTCGAGAGAGTGACGGGAGGGGGAGGAGAGAGAGGGTCTCTGCGTGGGTGGCGTCAGAGTCATCGAGATCGTCGAGAGGGAGACGATCTAGAGCATCTTGATGTCTCTACGTGACGTCGACTCGATCTCGAGATCTCGAGTGATCTCTCGACTAATCGTGAGTTCTAGCACTTCTTGCGGGTGTCTGATCGGGTCTGCCTCCTCTCCCTCTCCTCTCCCACGACGGGGTGATAATGGTTGGTAGATATATAATATAGAGTAGGGCAGAAAGTAGTAGATGAGCAGGTGAGTATAGAGATATATAGTATAGAGAGATGAAGATATGTAAATATAATATGTATATGAGATATAGTTGTATAGGCGGTATATAAGGGATATATCCGGTTAGTATAGAGAAATGTGTAGTAGTAGGGATGTATAAGTAAGATAAATAAGCTGAGAGAAGAGATGAGATAGTAAGAGGAGAGAGAGTGAAGATAGTAAGATAGTGTGGTGTTGGTGTGATGGTAGTGTGTTGTGTGTGGTGTGTGTGTGATGTGGTAAGGTGATGTGTGTGTGTGTTGTATGTGTGGTGTGGTGTGTGAGTGTGTGTGGATGGTGTGTTGAGTGTGTATAATATATGAATATATTTTAAGTGTGAATAGGGAATGTATGATAGATATAGATTATGTATAATATATATATATATATAGTAATGTACATATGGTTGAAGATATTAGGGTATGTTATGTGAGGATAAGATGATGAGAAGTGGAGAAAAGATATGGATATAGGATAACGGTGGCGATATATAGTTATATATATATATTATATATATATATATATTACATGTATTAAGTGAGTGTGTGTATAGAATGTGATATACTTATGATATAGTATATATATAGGTGAGAGAGGATAGACACACACAACAACACACACACACACACACACGACACACACACACACACACACACCACACACACACGACGCACCACACACACACACACAACTACACGCACACCGCATACACCACCGATATATAGTATAATTATATATATATATAGATATATATGTATAGTAGATAGTATAGATGAGAGTAGGTCGTAATAGGTTAGGTATATTTACATGTAGATATTGAGTGTGTGTATATGTATAGTGACTTATGAATAAAAGTGAATATGAATATGGGTTAATGATGATATGAGTATATAACTATGATAGTGGAAAGTATGTATACGTGATGATAGTAATAATGCGTAAGGGTTAGTATAGATATATATGTATATTTTATATATTATTATAGCATATTGAGTAATCAGTATATATACACAGACACACACACACACACACACACATATATAGTATATATGGGTATTATAGGATAAAATAGATGAGATAGATAAGATATAGATAGATATAGGTGCATAATATAAATAATAGTATAGTTATATATATACTAACTCACAGGGCATGATATATAAGGGGGAAGTGTATATTGGTAGGGTGTGATAAGATGACGTAGTGTGTGCTGGGGTAATAGTAACAATGGTAGGTGATATATAATTAGAAGTATAACTATATAATATAATGTATAGTATACTGTGATCAGTATGGGGTATATGTCGACGAATATAAGTAAGATAGTAGGTAAGAGGAAGGGAAGATAAGGTAGGTGAATGTAGAGTAAGGATGATAGGTATAGCCTATAGTTTATGAGAGGCATATGTTGTTGTGGTGTTTGTGTGTGGTGATAGGTGTGCGGGTAGTGGTGTATGTGTGTGTGGTGTGATGTGAATAATAGAGTAGGGAGTAGGGGTAAGATAGAGGTAGAGATAATAGAGGTGATTAAGTATGAGTAGTATAGGTAGTATATAGATACTATGGATGCATATACGTTAGTAGTGTGTGTATGGTAAGTAAGGAGTGTGGAGTAGACTGTGGGAGGTATACAATCGAGATGATGTAGTGTTGTTATGATATATGAGGTGTTATATATGTGTGTTATAACGCCCACACACACACACACATCAGACGCACACAGGGTTGCAAAGCAGCACGACAAGGCACGAGAACACAGAACAGACAGACGGACACGACCATCACGACAGCGTGGAACACACGAGCAGATACAGCATCACACACCAGCGGACAACAGAAGCACCGAGGCGAGGACACCGACATAGAGATGAATCAACTAGGCATACATATATATAGGTATAGTGACTAGGCATATATTTGCTGAACTTAGGGAAGAGGAGGTATGGTATATAGGTAACGGGGTTATGGGAAGTGAGGGGTAGGTAGATAGACGGCCGCTGATATAGAAATGGTTCCGCCACTCCTGCTAATTTGGGGTGTCAGACACCCTGGTGGGCGTCCGCCGCCGTTTTTCTTTCACGCGATAGGTCGTTGGACGCGTTTCTATGTTCCTCTCATTCCCTCATGGGTGTTATTATTAATTGAGTAAGTAGTGTCATATATTATTATTGTTATTATTTATGGGTGAATTATTATGTCGATTATTAGATATTGTTTTTTTTTTTTGTTTTTTTTTTTTTTTTTTTTTTTTTGTGTTAATTTTGTTTTTATTCTATGATTATGCTATGTGTTGTGTGTTGTTGTGGTGTGGTTGGTTGTTGTTGGTTGCCGTTGTTGTTGGTTATTATTAGTATGTAGTGAGTGTCGAAATTTCGGTTAATCATTATTATTGGGATTATTATTGAGTAGGGTTATTTATTATTATTAAAATTATTATTATCTATGGTGGTGGGATTAGAGATTGAATTCAATTATTGTTCGTTATTATTATTATTATGTATTATTATTATTATTATTATTATTCAGGTGTATTATTATGTATTATTTACTATTATTATTATTATTATTATTATTATTATTATTATTATTATTATTATTATTTATTATTATTATCATTTATTATTATAATTATTATCATCATCATTATTATTGTTATTATCATTATTTATATCATTATCATTATTGTTGTTTATTATTATTATTATTATTATATTATTATTATTTATTATTATTATTATTAATTATTATTATTATTATTATTATTATTATTATTATTATTATTATTATTATTATTATTATATTTATATTATTATCATTATTTAATTATTATTATTATTATTATTATTATTATTATTATTATTATTATTATTATTATTATTATTATTATTATTATTATTATTATTATTATTATTATTATTATTATTATCATCATATTTATTATTATTATTATTATTATTATTATTATTATTATTATTATTATTATTATTATTATTATTATTATTATTATTATTATTATTATTATTATTATTATTATTATTATTATTATTATTATTATTATTATATTATTATCATCATCATCATCATCATCATCATCATCAATCATCATTCTTATTATTATTATTATTATTATTATCATCATCAATACCCTTCTTATTATTTTCATTATCATCATTATCATTTCTATCATTAATATGATTATTGTTACTACTATTACTACTACTACTACGACTACTACTACTACAACTACTATTACTTTTACTACTACTACCACTATCATTACCATCATTATTATCACTTGTATCTTTTTTACCGCTGTTACTGGTAGCAGTTATAGGAGTATCATTATTTTTTTTCACTACTGATTTTATCATCATTATTATCATTGCTAAAACTTTTATTATTGTTATTGCAATTGTTATTTTTAACATGATTGTTATTATTATTATTATTTATTACTGAACTTCTTAGAGTTACCATATATACAAATGTTAAAATAAATATGTTTCTATCCAGCCAAATGTACGCTCGTATCCCCTTATTGTTTACAAATTTTGCTGTTTGGATTTGTGAATGTCTTTCTTCCACTCAATATGAATCTCGAGCTCTTAGGTATGTTATTATTGCTTGGACATTTTCCAGTTTTGTAATTTGAGAAGATATGTTGTAGTTTAGTGTTAGAGGATGCTTGTTTACTTGGAATTTGTGAATTATTTAGAGTATTCTGGTGATAATTGATGATGGCGAAATGTGTGTTTCGGTGTTGGGTGATATGTAGAATATGCTTTATCGAAACTGTCGTAGATTTGAGTTTCATTGTGATTTCTCTTGTTGCTCCCATAGTTACAAAGTCTGTGAATTGCTGACGCCAATAAATTTGATATTGTTGACCTAATTACAGTGTCTACTATCCACATATATTATTATAGTAATTGTAGTACTAAACATGGGCAGTAGGCAGTTTCTGGAAATCAAAAGTAGTTACCTTTGATAGCTAAGGGCAGCATGAAATATGTGAGTAAACATGTTGTATGAATACTTTGCATTGTTAAAAACTGGAGAGAAAAAGCTATATGAAGTGAAACTAGAAGTTGTGCAGCCAAAAGAGTGTCCATAATGTCTCCCTGCCAAAATTTGGATCAGTGATCCTTTGAAATGGCCTAACAGTGAATTACCAATTACCATTACTGATTCAGCAGACTGTAGCAATTGCACCTAGAAACAAGAACTTAGTGATAGCAAATCCTTGTTCGTTCAGAATATTACTGTGAGTGCTTATGGATTCGCTGTGTTAATCCAAGAATTTAAAGGTCTTTCATGTGAAAAGGCTGAGTTGTGTAGCCATTGGTTGTTAGAACCATAATATTATGGGAAAGAAAGGTCAAACCTTTCATATATCGCCGTGGATATTGTTCCGGCACCGGATTTTATAACAGTTTGGCTATTCGTCCGGCATACATGCACACTAACTATTTGCGCGCGAACACACTCGCGCTTGTGCATTAGCCTTGCATACAAACCTTGGCGCTATTTTTGTGTTGTTCATTGTTCATGGCTAAGGGTCGATCGTCGATTATGGATTCCTTCAAATTTGGACCTGAATTTGCCAATTTTGCTGATGTGAAGGACAGCTTGACCAAATTTAAAGGTCACTTTCGCACAGTTTTATGTCAAAGATTCAAGGACTGTTGCTGCAGCGTTGAAGCATACACCGGATAAGAAAGTAAAGCCAGAGTTGAAGTACTCCTACTTAGTGTTTGCCTGCATCGGGAAATATGGCAATTGGGAGGGGGTCTGGGGGCTAAGCCCCTGATAGGGAAATACGGCACTCGGGAGGGGGTTCGGGGGCAAAGCCCCCAGTAGGAAAATACGGCAATCATGAGAGGGTTCAGGGGTGTAGCCCTCGGGTTAGGACGGATTTTTGGCCCATACGACGATCCTATTGGTAGTTTGTGCATTTAAGATGCGGTTCACTCACTCGTTTGTTCGTGCAACACCTTGTCGAATCATCTGTGGCCGAATCTTCTCTCGGGTTTCTATATTTTTTACTTTATCATCTGAAATGCTATCCTTGGCTCGGATTTTCAATTTCCCTCATTCTTTTGTTTTTTAAAATGCATGGTATGAAAGAAATCCCCCCCCCCCCCCAACCCCCGATTCCCCACGGGATCCCCCAAAATTGTTGGCGAGTGTCGGGGAATCCATCTCTGACGGGTACGGTCCCATCGTTTATAGGCACGAGAAAATCACAGAATAGGGATGAAAATCACAGAAATGTCAAACTCTAGCAAACTTAGCATGTATGTCCACTCAGTTCTAAGAATAATTAAAAATTTTGATGATGTGCACCCCTGCTGGAAAAATAGCTCTTCAGTGCAGGCTTCCGACAAAAAACGCCAGAAAAATATCCCAGCAGAGTCTCGATCCGGCTATGAATATTGCGTGAAATGACAAAGACAGACTTATTGACTGTGTGCAAGCGCGAGTGTATGCCGGACGAATAGCCAAAATGTTATAAAATCCGGTACCGGAAAATATATCCACGGCGTTCATATATTCCTAGGTCACGAGAAGAAACCTGAAAAATGGAACCAATGGCTAAGAATCATGTTAAATGCAGATGGGAGCACTTGAGCGCCTGGTGGAAAATATGTTTATATCTGCTCAGAACATTTTATTGAAGGTAGAAGTGTAATTGATCTATATAGTAATATATTACACCTTTTCTATTTCTAATATAAACATAATTTCCACCAGGCACCCAAGCACTCCCATTATGCATTTCATGACCTGAACCCATCGCTTCCATTTTTCAGGTTTCTACTCGTGATCTGAGAATTAATGAAAGATTAGATCTTTCTTTCCCATCATATTGTGATTCAATCGACTCACAGCTACACAACTCAGCACTTTCATGGATAAAAATCTAAATTCTTGGATAAACACAGCAAATCCATAAGCATGTATTGCAATCTTTTTAACAAATGAGGGTTTGTTTTCACCAATTTCTTGTTGCTAGGTGCGGTTGCTGCTCTTTACTGAATTGGTCTATAATGTTTTCAGTCCAACTGTGAAAACTTCTCAAGTATCATTACAAAATGTAATTTTCTACTACTGGTCCACATCTGAAAATCTGGTGTTAGTTTCGCATAGCCATGTAGTACAATGTAATGGCACTGTAATAATCAATGAGAAAAACTTCACTCACTATTACATGAAATAATCCGTGTAGGCAAAAAATACATGAGAAATGAAGAAAATAGGTCATAAGATATGACACTCAGAAGGGCCCCCGATATGGAAATACAGCAATCGGATGGGGGTCTAGGATGAAGCCCTTGGGTTAGGAATGTTTTTGGTTCATATGGCAATGTTTGTTAATTTTCTAGGAATGGCTGGAGTAATAGAGACATAATCTCAGAGGGATAAGGGAACTCAGTAAATATTATGATGGAAAATAACAAGAGATTCAGGCATATTACAGTGTTGATGATTGTTAGAAGGAATGATAATTCCATGATTGAATGGCTGTGTAAATTATTACCAAAATTCTATTGCATTTCATATCTGTGAATTTGGTATAACGTTTAATGTGCTTGGGAAATATTAAGAACAACTTTACACAACCAATCATGACAATATTGGTATCAATGGATTCATCGCACCCTCTACTACCCTTATCTATAGACATTATGCCACGGAACCTCCTACCCCGTATCCACAATCTTGGCCCCATTAATAAGGGAGGGCATGAATGATACTAAGGAAATTGCAGGGTAAAATATCAATAATATACAGAGAATTGGTCAATATATAGTCAAATGCAGGGAACTGTGTCTCCTGCAACCCGCCCAATCCCCACACAAGACAACAAGAATCCATCACTTATGTATGGCCAAATAGAGCATAGGACAGACTCATGGAGGTTAGGGGTAGCAGTCCCCCGGGTTGGGGATAACAGGGGGCATACCCACCTACATAAGGCAATATAGTGACTTGTACTATTTATATTATTATTATTATTATTATTATTATTATTATTATTATTATTATTATTATTATTATTATTATTGTTACTATTGTTATTATTATTACAGTGACATATTTTGTGTATATTATTCCTATTTTACCTTGCAATTTCATGCCCTCACATGATATTGGGGCCAAGAATGTGGGGGCTTTGGGGGTGGCTGTGGCATAATTCCTATATGAATGTGTAATAGAAGATGAGAGGACTCCATCTATACCAAAATCATTGCTATTGGTTATGTGAAGGTATTGCAAACAATTACCCAAGACTCAATTGTTGGGGCAGGGTAGTAGGGTAATTTTTTGGGTTTCACAGAGCCATCCAACCTTGCAGTTGTTATTCTTTGCTTCAGTTACTCACAATGTAGTATGTGTGAAAGCCTTTCTAATCTGGGAGCTCTGCCCTTAGATGCCCACCCAGTAGCTGTATTTTCCTATCAGGCTCCTACCCCAGCCCACACCCAATTGCCATGGCCTTACTTATTATACTTTGCACTAGCCTACACTGAAAAGCTAAGCGAAATCAAGCATATAGACTTTATTTTTTCTGAGTAGAGATTTGATTGTATTGTCAATACAGAAGCTGTGTTGCAGTCAAAACAGCCTCATGCAACACTACTGTTGCAGTGTGGCTTAGATCTTTTGGTTTGAAACACCAATCTATAACTAAAGTTAAATCAACCATATGTATGGTTAACATAGGGATGGAATGATAGTTTTGATTGGTTATTGTCTTCAAGTGAATAAAAATTACAGGTATTATTTTTGCCTGTACGTCAGACTCTATTTTTTAGCACTGTCAGGTGAGTGTCAGAATAGCTTTTGCAGGTATTATATATTTATGTGTGTGTGTGTGTGTGTGTGTGTGTGTGTGTGTGTGTGTGTGTGTGTGTGTGTGTGTGTGTGTGTGTCTACCAAAGTTGATAAACATTCATCTCCATGTTTTAAATAATAGTTGGAAGGGAAAAAATTCAGCCTTAGATAATGGCTTTTTGTTTTTATAACGACTCATAAGAAAATTGGCCTTCAGAGCTGTAACTAGCTTTAGCCTCATCATCTTGGTCATCATCATCTGTTTTCCATTCACTTACTAGCTACAGGTCATCAACAAACCCCAATTTTTCCAGAGTCGTTTGGCCAGAATTACCCAGAGGAGTTTGATGGGGCCTTGGACTGCGCATCACTAGCTGGTACTTGTGCTTTTAATAGACGAGGCACTCTGCTAGCTGTGGGGTGCAATGATGGCCGAATTGTTATATGGGATTTCTTGACCCGCGGCATTGCAAAGGTCATCAGCGCTCATGTTCATCCAGTTTGTTCTTTAAGGTCAGTGAGTTTCCTTAGGAGGCGCACACACACACACACACACACACACACACACACACACACACACACACACACACACACACACACACACACACACACACACACACACACACACACACACACACACACACACACACACATATATGTCTTCAGAAAAACATCTTAAAATCCTAAATTAATTATGATTACAAAAATTATATATTTATGTGCTATTAAAAGATCTGAAAACAATTTTCCGCAGTTGGTCAAGAGGCGGCTACAAGCTACTGAGTGTTTCTACCGACAATAATGTCTGCATATGGGACGTCCTGAGTGGGGAGTGTGATATCAAATACAGATTTCCCTCGCCTGTTATGAAGGTAAGTTGTGGATCACATGTGTAGTATATTTTTTTTGCTTCATTTTGATGTGGTTGGCATTAAGTCTTCCTTGGCTGTATTGATTTATTGGAGTGAAGTTAGATCTTTCTTTTTCAAGTCTTTTAAAAAAAAAGTTTTTTTTATGTGTGTAGTGGTGATTATACAATGATATAATATAAATGGCATAAATAATTGAAGTTTTATACCTTTTTACTTTCGTGTGAAATGTTACTGGTCACTGTGAGACTTAATTGTAGTAGTAAAAGATTTCTAATTTGTTAGTCTAATCTTGATTTTATCTTATTTATTTGTGCATTTCCATTCCAGGCCCAATTTCATCCTCGTAATGACAAGATTTTCCTAGTTTGCCCCATGAGACATCCGGCAGTGCTTGTCAATGTTGATGCCTCGCACAAAATTGTTCCAATGGACGATGAGGTAATGAGGACTGAACATTTGATTTTTCAGCAACAACTCTAATGTTAGTGAACACTTTATATGAAAAGACTGTAAAGAAAAATTGGGGTCAATGTGTTTAAATGATTATTTGTTTGGTTGCTTGTTTTATTTCCTTGTAATTAAGCTTGCATATACATGAAAACTTTAATAGTTAAAGGATTTGGCTTTAGGCTATATCTTCCCCACTTAACCCTATAACTAGAATACAGTACATTATCTTCAGCCATTAGCTGTATGGTTATGATGATGCCCCTCTTGTGTCACTGGGGTGATCTGGTCTTTCCTGGCTCGGATGGCCAGAATACAGGCTTAGTAATGTTATTAATCTAGTGAGCACATTGTTTAGTACTTATAGTCTAGTATCTGTACTCATCCATAAGATTATGAGTAGAGACTCCTTTGCCATACTTTACAAATCTCAAGATCACCATTTCGTTATCTTATACTCAGGTGGTTGATTTGATTCTCAAACACCCTCTGTAATGCCATTTCTGCTTTCACAGGGAGATGTCAACATTGTTGCCTCCTTCGACCGTCGGGGAGAGTACATATACACAGGCAACAGCAGAGGGAAGCTGCTCATCCTCTCTTGCCCAGAGTTGGAGGTCAAAACGTCATTCAGGATTGGCCAAGGAACCACAAGTGCGGCTGCCATCAAGAGTATTGAATTTGCGCGCAGAACAGAGTGAGTGTTTTTTTTTTTTTTTTTTTTTTTTGTCTGCTTCTGTTTCTTCTTTCTTTTCTCTTTTTTTCTTTTTCTTCTTGATTTTCTTTTCTTTTTGTTTCTTTCTTTTTTCCTTTCTTTTATACTCTTTTTGCTGCTCTTTCTTTTCTTTTCCTGCTGCCTGTGATATTTTGTCTGACAAGAATTTTAAAAGTAGAGTTGCCTATTGGTACTTTTTTTACAGCAAGGAAAAAATAGTTTGTCACTTCTTCACATATATATGCTTTAGAATTACTGCTTACAAATACTCATTCCTCTTTTTTAAAACTGTATCCCTATTATTGTGTCCTGCTAACACTCCCAAATATCTAGCAGAAATGCAAGCGTAGGCTATGCTGCTTCCCTGAGCAAGCGTATAGTGTCGACTCAGAAATCAGACTGATAACTTCCATTTTATCATTTTAATAGTTATGTCCTGTTTTCAATCAATCATTTAGGAAGAATTTACATTTTGAATCATCTGTATTGGAACTTGTCAACAAGTGCAACATTTTCCCCATGTGTGTTCCTAAGCAGATGAATGTTAGCAATTTTCTTTAAGTTTACAGAACCCATTTATTCTCAGCCATTTACATTACATGAAATGCTATATCAATTATTTACCTAGTAAATAGTGAACTATTTTCTTTTTTAGATAGGCAACTTATTGGCAACTCTTCTGTTACCAGTATTACAGAATAAAATACTGCATACTAATCTTTACAGCTGTATCTGAAGGTTTGATTATTTTATTCATTTAAGTTCTATCAGAAAGGATCATGCAGTCTTTTGGTAATGGCTTTAACCCAATCATGACAAGTGGTCATGATTATTTGCTTGGTTGCTTGTTTTATGTGCTTGTGTATAAGTTTGCATACACATGACAACTTTAATAGCTAAAGGATTTGGCTTTGGCTTTAGGCTATATATTCCCCACTTAACCCCATAACTAGAAGACAGTACATTATATTCAGCCATTAGCTACATGGTTATGATGATGCCCCTCTTGTGTTACTCCTATTTTTGCTTACATTTAAAAAAGAATAGTGAAATGTCATATGAGAATTAAATAATTAACCTGACTTTTTTCTTCCCTTTCAAGGTTTTTCCTTGTGAATTCCGCAGACCGTGTCATTCGTGTTTATGATGCAAAGAAAGTCCTGAGGTGTGGCAAAGATGACGATCCGGAACCTATACAGAAATTACAGGATTTAGTTAACAAGTAAGGGTTGTTGATTTGATTTTTATTTCTTCTTATTTTTCTGTGTGTGTGTGTGTGTGTTTTATTATGATAATATACACTAGTCCAGGATCTTATTGTTATTGAGTTAATTGCTCTTGTCAATTAATTTTCTTTTTTATTATTATTGTTTATATATCATTAAATGGAAAATTGTTATTGTTATGTTTTTTTTTTTTTCCAATCAGTAGTAAGGCTACTTATTTATCTTTTTCACATTTCCTTTTTCTTCTTTTGTGTTCTTGTAAAAGGCCTCAAAGTTTTGAAGACTCAGCTGGCCTTCTCTAAAATTTGAGAACATGTAATTTAAGGGATTTGTTTTTTGTTTTATATCTGGCAACCTTTGCAGTTTCCTGAATCAATATGTGGGTTTTGGGAACTATGCTTAGCAACATCTGCACAGATCTTTTTAGAATTAATAATTTCAGTCTGCAAATCAGATACATTTAATGAAAAGGAAAGTCCAAGAAAATGTTGTAGGTACCAGGAAACACTATGATTATTTTTTGCATCTTTTCTCTTTGTGTTACAGCCTTTACAATGCAGTTCTGTGATTTTCAAATGCTGAAAAAAGCTACACTAATTGGCATCTGTTGGTAACTGGAGATGATGTCATAGATACCTCTTAGTATTTGTAAACGGATATATATTCTACTAACTTTACAATCCCCACTAATCTCTATAGAAATCTCTCAACCACCTACACTTGACATATTTTGTTGTCTAAGCAATCTGATGGCTAAAGGTAAATTCCAAACCGTTTTCCAGAACCATGTGGAAGAAATGCTGCTTCTCGGGAGATGGCGAATATATCTGTGCAGGCTCCGCTAGACAGCACTCCCTGTACATATGGGAGCGCAGCGTGGGAAACCTGGTTAAGATCTTGCACGGCACTAAGGGAGAAATGCTTCTTGATGTTGTGGTGAGTTTGGGGATAAACTTATGTTGCCATTTTTGCAGGAACTTTTTTCCAAGGGGCATAGGAAGATGTTGACTGTATCTGGTAAATGCTTAACTTTGATTGAGCTAATAATTGCAACAGACATCGTATAACAAGAAAGTCTTTGTAAATTGGGCATGCCACATAATGTACCCCAAAGAAAATCAAAGCAAATAGAAGATGGATCAATGAAGAAAGTGTTGAAGGGGAATGGGAGAGTGAGCCAGAAAACTGAATTGTTTTGTTACTAGGTTGAGAAAAGAAAAGAACTTTTATGATTATTATGTTGATTTCTTTAGTTACCTTTCATTCCCTTTCCCTAATCAGTTTATTTTTTACCTACTTGATATTTTTCTTCTAAATTTTTGTAACATTTTTTCAAAGCTTTTCACCTTTACCCCTAGCTTGCTGGAATATGATAAATTATGGAATTCTGAAGAAAAATCAATGTATGAACACTGATCATAATGAATCTGCAAACTAGTTTGTTTTGAAGAAGAAGAAAAAAGTTTTATAAGGTCGCATTGGAATATGTTATTATTGAATACAAGCAAGCATTCAGCATAAACCCCCCAGAATCTACAAACTTGCCACTCTTCACATTCCCTGCCCCATAGAGGTAGTGGATTATGGTCCAAATGCCAATCAAGAGCTAGAATGGAAGCCGCCTTTCACTTTACATTAAAGGAAGATTTTTTTATGAATAATTACAAAGCGGAAAAGATGAGTTATGATCGTGTTTGCTGTTATTACTATTATTATTATTATTTCTATTATTATTGTTTGTTATTATTATTATTTCTTTGGATTACCCCGGGCTTAGACCTCAGTCCTCGCCTCAACTAATTTTGCATGATCTTTTCTTCTCCTTTCCTTTTCTTTCTCTTCTTCAGTCCACATACTAAAGCATGAGAGCCGTGCCAAAAGGATGAAAGACTGGCTTTGTCACTTTTGAACGGCCTTCGTACTCTGTTTGCTATTTCCTCTTTACCCTTTATCACTACCATACTAACAGCACTTTACAACCTTTGAGATCTAACAAATTTGATTCTAATCATTAACTCATTTTTAAAGGTACAATAGTTTATCATAGGGCTATATGACCTTTCCTTACATTGCCCCCAAGCCTCACCCTATTGCTATATTTTGGATACGCCACATATGACCTTAGATGTCGATGCGGCAGAAAATTTTCAATAGATAAATAAAATATTGTTATTGTTAGCTATTATATTTAGTTTTGTTAGCATTATCTGTATTTTTTACACTTATGTTAATTATTATTTTTACAATTATTATTATAATCTTTATAATTATTACTAATAACAATGAATAATTAATGTTTTTTTTTCATCTTGTGTATTTAGAAAAACCTTAGCTAGATTATCTCTTTCCCTCAAACTCTAGTGGCATCCAGTGCGACCAATCTTGGCCTCCATCAGCTCTGGGGTGGTATCTGTGTGGTCGCAGAACCAGGTGGAAAACTGGTCAGCCTTTGCCCCTGACTTCAAGGAGCTCGATGAGAATGTAGAGTATGAGGAGAGGGAGTCAGAATTCGACCAGAGCGACGAGGACAAAAGCGTTGAGATGAGCCAGGAAAAGAAGGAAGAGGATATTGAGGTAAGAAATGATGATGGCAAAGGGCTTTGTAGATAAAATATTGAGGATTTTTTTTTCTTTTTTTTTTTCCTGTTCTTTTTTTCATTATACAAAATATTCTTCCGGATTTTTTACCTTTCTCTCCTCTCCACACACATGCATGACACACCGAGTTCAGTAGATACATTCATAACATCACCTCACAAGAACCCTATTCTCTCCCTTCCTTCTCCCAAGGTGGATGTCACAGCGATAGAACCAGTAGCAGCCTTTTGCAGCTCAGATGAGGAAGACGACAGCAGCACCCTCCTGTACCTCCCAATCTCACCGGAGATCGAAGAGCCCGAGGAAGGTTGGGGACCAGAGGGGGCACCTAATGAGGACCTAAACAGTAAGCGCTCGGGTGACAGCAAGGAGAATGTATCCCCGAAGAAGAAGAGACCCAAGACCTTCGACGTTTCCCTAGAGAATGCACCCACAGATGGTTGGTTTTGTCGCTTATTTCACTCTCTCTTTTTTCCTTTCTCTTCTGTCTCTCTTTCAGAAACTGAAACTCAGCTTACTATGAGGACTGCCAGTTTATTTGCCCACATTAATTTTGAATTATATCATAGCAACAGATTTTTAATGCGTTCTGTTTTTACATTTTCTTTGCCTGTTGAGAATGTTATTTATTGATTTAAATTTATGGCTATTTCAGCTCTCTCAACTTTTTTTTTTTCTCTCTCTCTCACCTCACAGAAGTACACCCCTTGGCAAGCAACAGACCGAAGGACAAGCAAATGGCAGGGAATAAGAAGGGAAGAAATAACTCAAAAGGAGACTCCAAGAAGGATAGAAAAAAACATTAGGATAACTTTTTTGCGTAATTGATTTTTTTTTTTTTTTTTTTTTTTTTTTTTTTTTTTTTTTTTTTTTTTTTTTACACTTGTACTATAAGTTTCTATAAATTTTATTTTTCTTCTTAGCAGGGGTAAATATTTTCCATGAAGTGCAAATAAACAGAAACATTAATACTATTACTTCTCTGAATATTTTGTTCCCTTTCTACAGTTTTGTAAATGTGTATATAATCTTTCCTTTTTTTCATAATTGCCGATGAGAAAATGGGAAAAACTTCAGAAATTGTCTATACTGTCAAGTCATTTTCCTAAACTATTCTTAATGTAAATGTTTCAATTCACATAAACAATTTTTTTCTTCTTCTTTCATACTCTTATTTTCATTTCCATTTTGTCTTTATAGTCACAGGAGGGAATATAAAATTCCTAGAAGTAAATAAAAACAAACAGAAGAGACCATTCACAGCCACAGCAACTGTATGTATTAGATTTAAGACAACAGAATTACAGGAATAACTGGTAGAATTCAGGTTTCTCGTCACTTTTAATTATCCTTTTATACCAGGAAATACAAACGACCGGTGTCATAGTCAATGCCAAGAGTTCTAGTCACTGTACCTGAATCAACCCGACTAGAAAGCCTTGGCAATTGTGAAATAAAAAAATGCAGTCGTAGGGTAAGCTTGCCAAGAGTGAATGCTGTGTACATTTCGTCTATTCTCTGTAGGTAATGCAGATCATTTTAATACAATATGGAAAGAATTTGTGTTTCATTTCATATATAAGATCCAAGAATATTCCTTCGTTCAAATAGATTATTAGAAACCACCTCTCTAATCCCTTGAACCTTGTCGTCGTGGGGGGGCTTGTGAGACGGAAACTGGGACTAAGGTAGGGGACCTTCCTTGCCTTGGACCCTTTCTACTGTCCACTTCCTAATATGTGAGAGCCGTACTGAAAGGCTGACCTTATGTCAGTCATAAATGGCCTATGGGAGCCATGGGCACTGTATTCCCTTAGTTAATTGCATAGCCCTTACTCCTTATGGGGTAGACATTTCTTTTCCCCACTGACTTCAGGCTCGCCATGGCCAATAATGAATTCTTTCTCTTATTAGCCTACCTGAATTTGATTTTGTTACTTTCCTGACCCCTGCCTCTCCCCTTTGACCACAGCTCTGACCACTGATTCTATTACTCCCTCCTCAAAGTCTACTTATACAAATCTATCCATTCTGAACCATCCACCCAACCTTCAGAATACAACCCTTCCTCTCTCCCAACATTCTCCATTCCATCTCCTGCAGTATAGTCTTCTTAATTATCCACCCCCTCTTCCCATATTACAACTCATCCTTATTTTCCTCCCCCCCACAGAATTACTTCACTCCACACCACCCCATCTTTCTCCTGACCTTGTCTATCTTTTCCACCTCTGCAAACCTGAGTACTCTTTGTCGCAGCAAAGTGGGATCGATTCTTTGTGATTCCCCCCACCGCCCCTTACTCTGAGAACACCCTTCTCTTTCAACAATGTCTAAAAACAAGAAAGAAAAGTTTCCTTTTGCAGTCATCCTGATTGTTCACATGTCAGTTACATCTGAATCCCAAGCTTGTGCACTATTCTGACTGACCACTGGCAAACCTATTCCTGCCAAACTTAATACCTGAACTGGAACTGTTTCAGTCTCCCCCAACTGATTGTCCTATCTACAACAATAACTGGTTAGACTGTGAAAACGACTTTTATGCCTGCCTTGTTGATTATGATGCAGAGGTGGTACAGTACTACACTATTCCTCCCAGAGGCCAAAGTAAGTCTTACACCAATATTGCCAAGATTAGTTTCTGTAGACATGACCTCCCACGAAGTTTACATTGGATTATCCCTCATCAATGTTAGAAAAGTTGGCATTTGGGCCACTCAGCCAAACACTGTCACTCCACAGCCAGCTGCCCTCTATGTGCCCAACATGGTCATGACAGTTCAAATTGCTCTGCTCAGTCATATATGTGTGCCAATTGTGGCAGCTCCCTATAGGCTGCCCTGCCTGTAAGCTCAAATGTGAGGTAGCAGTCCTTAGATTTTCTCTCTTTACCTATGCCAAAACTGTTTTGCTCTGCTCCTCTCCCCATTTCAAGATGTCTCAGCATCTCACTCAATATCTACCTCCCCATCTGCCCCAGTCAAATTCCTTTTCCAGTCTAAATCCAGATACTTCATTCTCTACCACTTTCCTGATGCCTACCCCACCTTCTAACTTTACCAGTCAAACCAGGCATCCTAAATGTTCATTCCATCTTCTCCTACTGTATCCTCTACACCCTCCTCTTCCTCTGCTCCTTGGACATCCACCCCCTCTTCTCCGCACATGAGAATGTTTATTTCTCCGACCTCTGCACCCAACAACCCTCCAGAAACGAAGACACCCAAAACTTCCTAAACATGACCAAAGGGAACACTCCACTCCGTCATCAACCCTCCAATCCCTCTGTTCTTCTGTTCCCTCATTTAAAGTACTTGCCAATATCCATCTTTTTCCTCCTCAAGTTACCTTGCCAACCAACACAGCCCATCCTCTTTTTCTCCATGTGCACCATTGCCTCCCTGTTTCCCATTATCCTCACTGCTCCCACCTGGATGTTCACTTGAATCCCTTCTGTCACACCAGTGTCCTTCCCTAGACCCATCCAATCCTGACATTTTTCATGATACTTCACCACCCTCCCCAGTCCCCTTATGTCATTTCCTGGATTCTTCAACTTCTCCAACAGCCATCTCTACCCATATTACCCATTGATTATTTCATAATGGCTATTTTGCCAGTTTTCCTTAAACAGTGTTTCTTTTCCTTCCCCAACCACATTTATATATTTATTAGAAATTTCCTACCACGTCAATATATTGGGTCATTAGTGGCATATACAAAATATAACAAAAGGGCTAAGACTGCGGGTGAAGCCCCCAGGTAAAGAAAGGTCATACGACATTATGACAAAGTATTGTGGCAAAAAGGTTAAAAATTAGTTAACAATATGGACAAATACATTAGATGTCAAAGGATGTAGAGTGCTGTAGGATAGTATGGTAGTGAAAAGGATAAATAGGAAATAGCAAAAGGAGTACAAAGGCTGTTCAGGACTGACAAAAAGCCAGCCTTTCATCACAGCTCTCACACTAGGATATGGACAAAAGAAAGGGGTGAAGAAAAGAAGGAAAAGGAAAGGGGGAGATAAAAAGACCAAGCAAAATTAGTTGAGGCAAGGACTGAAGTCCTAGGCAGGGGTAATCCCCTACATTGGGCCTCAGTCCCTGTCTCCTAAGCCCCTATGACAACGACAGCCATGGAATTGGGGGAGTCCCTAGCCACAGATACACTCCATATCATCATCCAATCACCCTTTGCCCTTAACCCTTTCATCTTTTACTAATCTCTGCTTTACTTCCTTAGCTCCCCCTAGTACCCTTTTTCACTACTCTACTATCGTATAACACTCTATAACCTTTGACATCTAACACATTTTATCCTTATTGGTAACTCATTTTTACCCTTTTTGCACAATACTTTACAGTAGTGCTATATGACCTTTGATGTCTAGCACTTTTATTTTTTCAACCATTAACCATTACTAGAAACCCATCATACACAAAATAGGTTTACTGAAACAATATTTTGAAATCCCCGTGGAACACGGCTTCAGGGTTGAAGGTATAGAGGTGAGAAAAGTATGTAAAAGGGTATCTCCATTTCCAGTTACCTGACCTGACCTTATCTGCCTTTGCACACTGTTGCCTCTCCCGTCTCTCTTCTATCTCCACCCCTATATTGCAATACAATAACTAAATAAATGGAATTCTCTCAGATGGAATAAAACAACAAAGAAGTGATTGATATATTATTAAGTGGCATGATTTAATACAACTGTCTTATAGTATATTAATAGTTAATTTGTAAGTGCAGTTCATTACTTGCAGTGAACCTACATCTCTAGCAAGGAAATCTAAAATTTAGTGTGTTTATATTATATATATATATATATATATATATA